CCAGAGAAAGAAGTGATACTGTCTGAAGCATGCTATTTTTCACTTTCTGTCGTTCTTTTTTCATTCAAGCCTTCTAGTGCAAAATGACTAACACAGAAATGTTTCACATGATTGCACATATATAAACTATATTCAATTGCTTACCGTCACAGGGAAGGAGAGGGGAAGAGAATTTGAAACTTAAAAACTTTTTTTAAAAAGCTAAAATGTTGTTTGAACATGTAATTAGGGGAAAAAATAAAATATTTTAAAATCTTTACACATTAATATTCTTTGTGCAAAAGCCTTCAAGTTTTATTTTTGAAACCAAGGGTTCTTAACCTAAGGTCTTTGAACTTTAAAAAAATATATATTTTAAGAACAATTTCAATATTAACTGAAATTTGTTTCTTTTGTAATACTATGTATTTTATTTTATGCATTTAAAAACAATATGCTAAATAGCTATCCACATGCCTTACCAGAATGCCAAAAGGTTTTTGCCTTTTGGACACAAAAAATGTTAAGAACCCCTGATCTATAGTAAATTGCTTATTTTTTATTTTCAATTAGTCAATTAACAAGTATTTCTTAAATTCGTATTATGTGCCAAGCACTGGAAATAAAAAACAATAAGCCACACAGGTTTGCCTGACCTGTAATTTTGAAAGATATAACTTTCCATTATCCTCTAATTATTAGTTTCTTACACAATAATATTCAACTAAATTTGTGTTCCATAATTTTTTTTCAGACACCCCTCAACCAATGGGCACCCACTTCATTTTCAGGTTTTTAGCACCATAAAAATGCTGTGACAAATATTTTGGTATGTCTAGCAGTGAGACACTAGGTTAAATAATTATAGGCATTTTTACTAAATTTCACAATTTCAAACTGTTACCTAAAATGATTAGACTAATTCACAGCTCTATTAGCACTAGTGCATGAGAGAGAGAGAGAGAGAGAGAGAGAGAGAGAGAGAGAGAGAGAGAGAGAGAGAGAGAGACAGAGAGACAGACAGAGACAGAGAGACAGAGACAGAGAGAGACAGAGAGAGAGAGAGAGAAGAGAGAGAGAGAGAGACAGAGAGAGTGAGAGAGACAGAGAGAGTGAGAGAGACAGAGAGACAGAGAGTTAAAGGATTAATTAAGGGCTCACTACGTGACAGGCATGGCTCTAACTGCAGAAGATACAAATATAAGAGAACAAGACATTCTCTACCTTCAAGAAGCTTAAATTCTAAAATGGAAAAACAAGAGGGTCCCAGCATGCCTGTGTTCCTGTAGCCCTTCCAACAATGACCATTTTCATCTTTGTTGCTGTTGCCAACTATCAGGGTTACTTTAACTTGCATTTTTCTTTAATTTCATAATAAGTGATTTGGAGAAGTCTTTCATCTGCTTATCAAGTTTACAATTCTTTTGAGAATGATTTTTCTAGTATAACATATCTTTATCATAAATATCTAATGAAAAGACTTTATTCCCTTTCAACAATTTCCCTTCTTATCCTAGCTATGATTTTATCCATCCAAAATCCTTTCAATATCATGAAATTTAAATTGCTTACTTTGTCTTGCAATGTATTATCTCCTGTTTGGCTACAATTTCTCTCTTTAGGCAGAGTTATAAAAGCTATTCATTTTTCTCAAATAATGTGTCTTTTTATATTTAGGTCTTTATTTCATTCGGAATTGTTGCACATGGTATGAGATGCTGGAATGAATGTTGTAGTTGTTTTTTTTGACAGAGTGCCTTCCAGCATTCCCAGTAGTTCTGGTCAAACAGGGAATCCTACTCTGAATGGTTTATGTTCTTGTGTTTATGAAACAATGGTTGATTGATTTGTATTGTTTATGACTCTTCTTTATCCAATTTGTTCAATTTTCCTACTTATTTTTAATCAGTGTCAGATAACTTTAATAACTATTTCCCCTCTTTTTCTAATTCTACTAATTTCATAATGTAATGGGGACACTATTAATTTTGTAGCATAATCTGAGTAGAGACATCATTTTTACTACATTGGCATAATCCAGTCATGAACACTATCTCTAAAATTATTTCTATCTTTATTTCTGTAAAAAACTGTCTTGTAATTCTATTTATAAAAGTCTTTTTGTGTGGGTAGAATAACCTCCAGGTTTTTAATTTGTTCAGTTGTGTTCTTCATGAACCCATTTGAGGTTTTCTTGGTTTTCTTGGAGTGGTTTGCCATTTCCTTCGCAAGCTCATTTTACATGAGGAAACTGAGGCAAACAGTGTTAAGTGACTTAAGGGTCACACAGCTAGTAAGTATCTGAGGCTGGATTTGAACTCAAATCTTCCTGACTCCAGACTTGGCACTCTATCCACTGCACCAACTAGCTACAGATATTTAATACATTTTGCTATTTTATGTTGCATTTGTCTTCTACCCAGGATCTTCTTAGTAGCATACAGAAATAAGTACAGTTCGTAGACTTATTCTGTATTCTACTACTTTACTGAAACTTTTAACTGTTTTGATTAATTTTTTTGTTAATTCTCTAGGGTTCATTAAGTACACCAATATATCATCAGCAAATAGAAATAACTTTGCTTTCCCTTTGTCTATGCTTATTTCCTTAATTTCTTCCTTTCGTCTTACTGCTAGCTAATATTGCTAGTACTGTTAAATAACAAGAGACAGTAGATGCCTCCTTCAAGCTTGATCTCAATGGAATAGTTTCCAGGGTGCTGACTCTTCATTTGAGACAAATACTTTTGACCATATTATAGAAAGGTTCTTTTATTCCTATGGTTTTTAAAATAATCATTTTTAACACAAATGAATACTGAATTTCTGTCAAAGGCTTTCTCTGAGTCTACTGATGTACTAGTATAATTTAAGATTTTCATTAATGTGATTAATTATGCTAATAGGTTGCTTCAGGTTGAACTATCCTTGCATTCCTGATACAAATCCAATCTGGTCATACAAAATAGATTTTGGATACACTACTGAATTCACTTAGCTAATCCCTATATCTTTTCCTTTCTAACTGTAGGACTCTCCATTAAATTTCATCTTATTGGATTTGACCTATCATTCTAATCTGTCGAGATCTTTCTGGATCCAAACTTTATCATCCATTATATTAGTTACCCTCCCAGTTTTTTGTCTTCTACCAATACTGCTAAATATATAATTTTTAAATCTATCTATGTCATTGCCAAAAATATTAAACAGCACAACACCACGCAGATGTTTGGAGAACTTTACTACAGACCTTTCTTCAAGGTGACTTACACCATCTTCTAGACCAGTAATCACTCCATCATTTTGACAAGAATATGAAAGATTGTATAAATGCTTTGCTAAAATTTTGACAAACAATGCTGCTGCCTACAAATCACAAAAACACCAGGATCTAAAAGATGAATCAAAATTATAAGTGACCCACAGGGCAATTAATCAGCACATGGTCCATAAGTAGACTGACGCATAATACCAAAGATAACTTGCCAGAAGAAATGACATAAAAGTCTAGGCCATTAATGACTAGAACAATCCAAATGTCACAATGGAATCAATGAACTATTTTTTAAAAATCAGAGGTAGGCTCCGGCACATTAGGTAGATCCCCCTGTGGAGGATTTATGGACAGATATGGATAAGAAATGCACAAGATGAAGTAAGCACTGGCTGCAATCCTTGGCTGGTAGAGAATAAGGATTGGCTGGTAGAAAGAGATTTAAATCCAGGCACAGATCCTCTGAGATCTTCAAGTATCACAGAAGACGTGTGTTACTGAGGAGATGAATAGTTTACAATGATTTAAGCCCACAACATCAGATTTTTTTCCATCAGACTAAAAGAGAAAACTTCATTTGACTATTAAACACGATACTATCATTAACCTTTTTGTAAATGTTTCTTTACAGACAAGAACAAAGTTAAGCAAAAGAAAGTCCTGGCTTCCAAATAATAATTTCCTTCATTATTCCATCCCACATTTGTGGCTGAACCTTATAAACGCCACATATAAATCCTGGATCCAATTATTTGTGAAAATATTAATTTTGGAGGAAGTAAAACATTTGGTCAGTTTTAGCTAGCACCTGAAAATTCTCCACATTACCAGAAGAAAAAGAGAAAATTATGCCAACTACCTAAAATATACAAAGTATTGTAGGCACACAGATTAAACTGCCTAAGTTTAGAATATTTACTTTGTGATATTCTAGAACTTTACCACAAATTGGTTACAGAGATAAAAAAAATTTTTTTAAAGATCCATTTAATGAAGGAACAAATATCCTAGTCAAAACAAGGAACATGAAGTAAAAAAAAAAATATTATATTCAGGGGCAATTTCTTTCTTTCCCTTGGGAAATGTGCAATTTAGGCTTTAGAATTTAAAATATTTCCAAACATTATCAAGACAAAAAAGAAAAAAGTCATTGTAGGCAAATCAGAGAAAATGAAAGCACATGGGGCTTTTGAATTGAACTCTTTTAAACAAACTCCCCATATTATTAACTTCTTCCAATTACTACTAGAGCTTAAAAGTCTAACTCATTAACTAGAACATTAACACTAAGAGAAACCTCTATAAAATGGTCTTTACTGGTATAATGAAAATAAAACAAAACATTAACAAGGAAAACAAATCAGTCTTGTACCAGTAGAAGAAACATAATACTCTAGGGACATAAGATTTAGCACAATTAAGTACCACTGAATAGTACCTTACATTGGATTGTAAAGAAAAAAAAATTTAAACATTACAGTAAAACAAAATCCTCAAATATTGCTCAAATAGCACCTCAAATAGTGTTAGGCATAGTTACTATGTTGGGCAGTTTGGTTGAATTTCATTTTTTCTCTTTTTAAATTGTTGCTACAAGAGCTAGTTTAGTCAGTAGAAAAGGCAGAAAGGAAATATTTGGATATTTAAGGTGACATGAAAAGACATCAATTAAGATTTTTTAAAGCCCTGGGACACATATTACACTTACTTTATGTTAACATTGGTACATGAAAATACTTTTTACCTTTTCTATGCAGTCATCAAAAAATGCCAATCCAGTATCTTTATCACTTACAAAGCTGCACTCTTCAATGAAACGGATAAAGATCTGGGTTTTAGTTAAAAGAGTGTAGAATTTCGTATATGCACGATCTCGGCTTTTTAAAAATCCTAGGGAAAAAAAAAGAAATCAAATTGTGTACCATAAAATTTAATTGTAAGTGGAACCAGATATTCTATACCAAGTATGATTTTAAATTTTCACCTACACTTTCCTCACTCTAATTTATCTACATACTAGGATTACAAAACATATGGCATCTATAAAAGGCGACTATTACCAGACTTTTTTTTTTTAATCTTTCTTATGATGACAAATCAACCAGTTACTGGGGAAGGGAAAGAAGAGGTAATATAAATCCAATCAACAAGTACTGATTAAGCACATACCACATGCCAGGTGCTAGGGATATAAGAATGAAATAATTTCTACTTATAAGGAGCTTAAAAGATAGCAATCATTTAATATGCCTTCAAAATATAGTTGAGCAAATGATCGTAATATTCCCCTTCAGGCTATAAATGATGAAATAGGCTCAGAGTTATTTTGAGTTAAAAGGGGACAAAAAGAAGGAGGTAGAGACATTTAACTTGGGTACTAGAGTAAGTTATACAACTACAGGATCTTATTTGCTACAACGGCTAGCACAGTACACAGTAATCTACAAACAGCAGGAAACTTGTTGAACTGAAATGAAATTCTGATAGTTCTTGAAATGGTCTTTATCTGGTTCCAGTAAATGGGAAAAAAATGAGTGACTCAACACTTGTCTTCCTATATTCACCCTGGAAAATGTGAAATTCATATATTGTTATTCTTTTCATTTTACTAGACTATTTAATCCATTCACATTTCAAGTTATAATTGTTGGGTTTCAGCTTTCCCTCATATATTTCTTTGGTTTTGATAGCCACATATCTAATCAGCTGTAGCATACTGATGCTTTGGCTCTACCACATCTCTCCCCATTCATTCCCATACTTCACAGCCAACATTCTAGTTCAAGGTCTCTCTCACCTGGGTTCCTGCAATAGCCTCTAACTGGTCTCCCCAATCCATTCTCCACACAAGTGCCAAGGGGATTTTTTTTCTGAAGTGAAGGTCTGACTCCACATATAAACTACTCTATTTGGAATTCAAAGCTCTTATAACCTGGCCCCTTCCTAGCTTTATCATACTAATATTATTGCCATCCATGCACTCAACAGTGCAGGCAAGCAGGCTTTCCTCCTGTTCTTTCTATACAATATACCACAGCTGTCCCCTTTGCCTGGAACATCCTCCCTCCCGACCTTGATCTCTTAAAATCTTTAGCTTCCTTGAAGATTCAGCTCAAATGCCACTTTACAAGAAACCTTTCCTGATATCCTTACCTTCTAGTGGTCTACACAAACGACCTTTTATCTGTTCTATATATATTAATACATGTCTATATTTTTCTCCTTCACACAAAACACAAGCTCCTTGAATGCGATGACTGTTTCAATTCTATCTTTCTATTCTCAGAGCCCAGCACAATACAGGGCATGTAGCAGATGCTTAATAAATGCCAAACCGACTGATTGATTTTTATTTCCTTCCTCTTTTAAGTCATTATTTTATTCCCAGGATTAGTTCTGCTAATCACAGCTCTGAGGTACAACTGGGGGCCCACTCTGCCCACACTGCAGAGTGTCTCTCATGGCTGTAGGCACACTTCACTTCAATCATCTTTCTGCTCTCTCAGTGCAGCTATATCCTTTGGACTAGAGATGATGCCCTGATGAACTTAAGTCTTTAAGTCCTGAAATTCTTGACCTATGTCCTGATTGGTGTACACTTTCACTCTATCTAGGCCACAAGGTAGTCAGAAGAAGTGATACAGGGACACTCTCAAGGTCTCTACTAAGAACTCTGGAATTGATTGCATGAGATGGGAGATGCTGGCAAAGGACTATCCAGCATGGCATGCCCACATCAAAGAAAGCGCTGTATTCTATGAGCAGAGCCAAAATTGCAGTAGCTCAAAAGAAACATGAGATGCACAAATATGGAGACATCTCCACCCCCAAATAGTCATATGGAATATTTGTGCCTGACTTGTGGTAGAGCATTCCAAGCTCATATTGGTCCAATGAGCCACAGTCGGACATGCTGTAACTTGACTCTTAACAACAGTGATGTCATTTTGGTCCTCTTCAAAAACAAAGAACAACAACAAACCAACCAATCTAGGCCAGCTCCAGCCATGCTTCATTCTATACCCTGGCTATCTTCTCACCATCTATCCATCACTGTGTATACACATACCATTTCTTCTGCTCTAAAAACATCAATCAATACTTCCATTGTTACTGTAAATAATGTGTCAATCTACTCCAGTTTGGCTTTACCTAGCAACCTTTCAACTTTCTAACATGTGTAAAAAGCTCTTAGCACAGTGCCTGACACAAAGTAGGCATAACAGATAAACAAATAAATACTTATTTGCTTCCTTTCACCCAAACCAAATAAATCCCTGCCCAAACCAAACAGATCCCTCCCCAGATACAACTTCCTTTATGTGTTGTTTCCCTCCACTATAGAAGCTTCTCAGAAAAAAGGACAGTTCAAGCTTTTGTATTTGTATCCCTAGTGCTTGACGCATAATAATCACTTAATTAACGTTTATTCATTCCTCTATGCTTACACAGGTTCTTGCCTAGCCCTTCCAATTTGCCTGTACTTTCCCAAGTTTGTTCCTTCCACTCTATTCTGAATTTTATTTTCTAATTCATGAGCTATACCCTTACTTCTTAATTCGCAGGCAGATCCACCAGCAGGCTACTGCAATATTTCAAAAATGAGGTGAAGAAAGCCTGCACCAAGGTGGTGGCAACAGTCAGAGGAGAGAAGTGATTATATTCAAGAGATGTTGTGAAGATGAAATTGACTGGCCTTGGCAACAGATTAGACATGAGAGAGAGAGAGAGAGAGAGAGAGAGAGAGAGAGAGAAGAGAGAGGAGAGAGAGAAGAGAGAGAGAGAGAGAGAGAGAGAGAGAGAGAGAGAGGATAAAGAGTAAAGGATGATACCCAGGTTTTAACTCTGGGGAACTGGGAGAATAATATTGCCCTTTACAATAATAAGGACTTTGGAAAGGGGGGAAGGGAGAAAATGAATTCAGCTTGGGACGTGTCGAATTTGAGCTGTCTATTTGACATCCAGTTAAAGATTTCTGAAAAGCAGTTGGAGATATGAAATTGGAAATTAGGCCAGTATAGGTAGATCTAAGAATCATCAGCTGAAAGAGCACTTCTAGGGCTATATCCCAAAGAGATCAAACAAATGGGAAAAGGACCCACATGTACAAAAATATTCATAGCAGCTCTTTTTGTGGTGGCAAAGAATTGGAAACTGAGAGGATGCCCATCAATTGGGGAATGGCTGAGCAAGTTATGGTATTGAATGTAATGGAATACTATTGTGCTATAAGAAATGATGAACAGGCTGACTTCAGAAAAACCTGGAAAGACTTATATGGTCTGATGCTGAATGAAGTGAGCAGAACCAAAAGGACTTTGTACACGATAACAGCCATGTTATGCAATGACTAAGAATGTTAAACTGAACCCTTCTCAGCATTACGAGGATCTAAGACATCTCCAGAGGCCTCGGGATGGAAAATACTGTCCACATCCAAAGAAAGAACTATGGAAGTCGAATCACTATCACTTATTTTTACCTTCTGTTGAGTTTTGTTTCATCTTTCTGATAGTTCCTCCTATTGGTTTTAATTTTTACTTACAACTTCACTAATGTGAAAATATGTTTAATGGGTATGTAAATGTAAAGCCTATGTCAGATTGTGCACCGTCTTTGGGAGGGTAGGGGGGAGGAAAAGGGAGAAAAATTTTCAACTCAAAAGCATATGGAAAAAAAAACATAAAAAAAGGGAAAAAAAAGAAAAGAATCATCAGCTGAGAGATGGTAATTAAATCCATGGGACCTGATGAAGTCACCAAGTAAAGTAGTATAGAGGAAGAAGAGAAGAGGGTCCACGACAGAACCCTAAGGACACATAAGGTTAGAGTCCATGAGCTAGACAAGGATCCAGCAAAGGGGATACAGAAGGAGTGGTCAGGTAGCTTATGAGGAAAACCAGGAGAGAACGGCATCCCAAAAACCTGGAGAGGAGAGTGCCAAGGAGAAAAGGATGATCAACAGCGTCAAAGGCTGCAGACTGCTCAAGAAAAATGAGGATTGAAAAAAAGCCACTGGATTTGGCAATTAAGAGATCACTGATAACTTCGGAGACCAATATTGGTGGAATGATAAAGCCAGAAGCCAGAATATAAGGAGTTAAGAAATGAGAGACAGAGTGAGAGAGAGAGACAGAGAGAGAAAGAGACAGAGAGAGAGTGAAGGTTCCTACTGGCCTTTCAAGTAGCTTGATCACAAAGGGCAGAAAAGATATAGGATGATAGTTGAAGGGCATGGATTAAGTGAGGTCTTTTTAAGGATAGGAGAGACATAGGCATGTTTGGTTAGACTGGGAGAGATGGAAGATAAGTAAGCAAGCAGGGAAGACAGAGGAAGTAATTTTTTGTAGAAGATAGGAGGGAATGGGATCACTTGTACAGGCAGAGGGGCTTTCCCTGGCAAAGAGTAGGGCAACCTCTTTGTGTGAGATAGGGGTGAAGGAGGAGACAGTGGCAGAAGGCATCTGAATGATGAGATGGAGAAGAATTCGTTCTCAGCGAATGGCATCAAGCTAACCGCCAAAAAAAAAAAAAAGAGAGAGAGAATATACATAAAAAGATATGGAAACCAGTTCTTTAAAAAAAAAAACAAACAAGGATATAGGAAAAGGAACAATCACGTCATACAATTCTTTTTAACCATTCAACAATCAAATTTTCACCTGATGAGTATTATGTACCTGACCAAGTCCCTCTAAGAAAATTTTCTCAACTTTAAAGACATACTCTACAGACTACTGGGATCCATTAACAAGCACAGAATTTGAAGAGGAGGCAAGTCAGGCATCAAATCCAAGAACAAAAGATAAAAAATTGGTAACATGAGCATTGCACACTGATATGCACAAAATTTTTAAAAGCCTAGAAATATGCCAAAGATATCATACAAAT